AGAACCGACCAGGTTGTCAGACTTCAAGGAGTTGATTATCTCGGCTCTAACCGGGAGTTTGCTGGTAATTTGGTCCACAACTGAAGGTGTCATGGACTGGGAGATAAGATTGCTCCTTGTCAAAATGAGCTGAAATCTTATCACCTGAACGCTGGTTTTTCCTGCGGAGGATAAACTCAGCTCTTCTCTCTTCCAAGAGAAGATGGAGACCGTCTTTGGGGAGGCTCACCCGTTGTTAGTTACTAAAGGAGGGGGAGAAAAGCGGGTACCATCGGGCATGGCCTTGAAGCTGTTAGTAAAAGATGGAGGTAAAGTTTAGTCTGGGAGAGTTCCACTGGTCTGGTGAATACTGCCTCAGTCAGCAAAAACAACACCTGTTAAAACAGCTAAAACCTTGGCAGGTTTGAAGAGTTGAAAATGAACCAAGCTTTGGTGAACTTTTCAAATAAACATAAACTTAAGGTTTTGTTTAAGCTTAAGCACAAATAATCATACAGTTTTCATAGTAAAACATAGTAAACTAGATTATAATTATTGTTTAGTTGAATTGAAAAATAAAACAGAAAAACATGTATTCACCTTATATTCAAATAATGGTTGATTAAAACACATACACAAAATAAAAAATCATTGGAACAATATCTTTTTGTGTTTTTTCTTTTCTGAGTTATAATGAAAGAAAATAGCTTGTCACTCATTTAAGTGTGTAACTTTGATTTATAAAATGATAACTTTTAGTTAAGAGAAAATATAAATCAAACATATAAAGAACATTATTATTTTAATTATTATCTTGATTAAAGAAAATAACATGTCTCTTCATTGTTTAAGAAAACATCCATCCATCCATTTTCTGTACACGCTTCTTCCTTTTCAGGGTTGCGTGGTTCACTGGTGCCCATATCCAGCAGTCACAGTGCGAGGGGCAGGGTACACCCTGGACAGGTCGCAAGTTCATCACAGGGCCTTTAAGAAAACATGTTATGACTATAATTCAAACAGAGTTCTGTAGAGAGTAGAGAGGACTTTGTCCTTTCCTGTAGGTGACCTCTGTGTTTTTGACCCAGTCCAGTTTAATGTCAATGTGCACCCCAGATATTTATAATCCTCCTCTGTGTCTACATTGACCCCTCTGATGGACACAGGGGTTGCAGGTGTCTTGTTCCTCCTCAGTTCCAGCACCAGTTCTTTTGTCTTGCCCAGCTTGTACCAGGAGACAAAATCCTTCACTGTTGTCCTGTACCTCATCACCACCACTGATACATCCAACTATTGCTGAGTCATCAGAAAACTTCTGAAGATGGCAGGTCTCTGTGCAGTAGTTGAAGTCCATGGTGTAGAGCATAAAGAGGAACAGAGAGAGGACAGCTCCCTGGGGGCTCCGGTGTTACTGACCAGACTTTCAGACACACAGTTCTGTAGACATATATACTATGACCTGCCAGTCAGGTAGTCCGTAATCCAGGACACWAGGGGGGCATCCACTTGCATCTTCTTTAGCTTGTTCCCCAGGAGAGCAGGCCGAATTATGTTGAACGCACTGGAGAAGTCGAAGAACAAGACTCTCACAGTGCTGGCTGGCTTGTCCAGGTGGGAATAGACTTGCTTCAGCAGATGGACGATGGCGTCCTCTATACCTAGGTGAGGCTGACATGCAAACTGAAGGGGGTCTAAGAGTGGCTGAATTAAATGGTTAAAGTCTCCTGATATGACAATGAAGGCACTTGGGTGTTTAGTTTGGAGACGTGCTGTTGTTGAATAAATAACATCACATGCTACCGTAGGATTGATGAGGGGGGGATGTATACAGCCACAATAATAACGTGTGAGAACTCAAGGGGGATATAATATGGTCTTAGTCCAAAAGCCAGCAGTTCAAGGTCTGAGCACCAGGTAGTTTCCTTGATGGTAATATGACCAGGATTACACCAGCGGTTGTTAACCAGCACAGTGAGCCACGCTCCTCTGCGCCTACCCTAGACTGACACTAGATGCAGCTCTGCACCAATGCACTGCGGTGCGCAGTTCGCAGCTGTTTGTTTGCACCCCAATTTAAACAGCGTCCGCTCAACTCAGCTCTGCTCTGGTGCGACACACAGAGGAGGGAGCGTGTGCAGGAAGGAGGCTGCGCCATAAATCCAGTGATAAATGTGGAAGGCAGAGCAAAAAATAATTAATTCTGTGGAAGACGAACTCCAAACACAGCTGAAAACATAGATATAAAAAGGTTTTGATATCTATGGTTGAAACTGTATCGCTGTATCTTTTTGAAACTTCTAATTTCAAAAATAAAATCCATGTATATCATGTGTGTACAAATATGCTTCATGCTACATGTTGCCATCTGCTTCCCAAACAGAACGATACATTCTGACAGCATTTGTGTAGAAATATATCCATATATGCATTAATATAGCTGGGATTTCAGCAAAATTTATCTGCCTGTGGTGTCTTATTCTGAAAATACGGATGTTGTGCTTGATCCTTTTCCTGTTGGTGCAACATGATCTTTGTAGATTGACTCCGAAGTAGCTCCGGCGTCTGGCAAAAATAGGATTGGATCTAAATTTAGCAGATCGCCGTCTGCTCACCGTCGCCATGCGGAGCCAGTGTAAATCCTCTCATTGAATAGAATGGTTGCGTATTTGCTGCGGAGGTCGGACCGCAGTGGAGCGGAGCCACATCTAGTGTAAATTATGAGTTGCCGCTCTCAGTGCAGCTCCGGTCAACCCGAACAGTCTGGAAGCCATCAATACAAGCGTCGTTATCCAGGATGTCCTGGTGTCGCCACGTTTCCCGAGAAACACATCAAACTACACTCTCGGTTTTCCCTTGAGTCTTCGCTAGTGCTGTTAGCTCGTCCATTTTATTGTCCAGAGATCTCAAGTTGCCCATGATGATGGAGGGGGAGATGTGGCCTAAATCCTTTACTGTCCATGAGCTTCCTTCGTCTCTTTTGCCGAACACTGTTTTGTTCATCCTTTGTAACCTCTGTGTGTTCGTTTCAAAATATCTTTGGGAATGTTTACTCTCTCAGTTACCATCTCCATGCCAGCAGTCTTCAGCTCGACCAGCGGATCCTGGCTGTAAACAAAGCCCTGCTGCTGAGCAGTGGTGATGCAGGAGAGTGAAAGCAGCTGTTTCACAACGTAAAAGTGCACCAAGTAAGAATAGTAAAAAAAAAAAGCAAAGATTTAAAGGTTAAACTAGAAGCACTCGAAGAGCGCAAACCTCCGCCAAGGCAGTAGGGTCAATTATGCTAAAAGTTTACCCTTGGAAAAGTCGTGTTTCCAATGCTTTATAATAAATATAGTAACATCATGTTGCATGTATTTAGACATAATAGTAAATGATGGAAATCAAACTTTCAATGTATTCAAATATATTTATCTGAAAACATATGCAGACATACGCGACCGAAAACATTACCTCGCCCTTGGCATAGGTAATAAAATTGAATCAATGTCAAAACACAGACGTAAGCACCAATACTGCAGTGCTACCTGCTGGACACTTTGAAACCCACTTGGGACATGAAAAAGAAATAATGGTGTTAAAATAAAAAAATTCCTGTATCCGCATCGTGATCTGGAACATCACCAAAATTTAAAGGTGTGTTACTTGAGCCAGTACCCACATGTGGTAAAAATGTGATGACAATCCGTCCACAAGTTTTTGAGTAATGTTGTCCACAGACAGAATGACAGAACGACAGACGGACAGACATACATACGCGACCGAAAACATTACCTCGCCTTTGGCAGAGGTAATAAGTTAGAGTATAAGATAAAAAAAAAAACTCAAATGGGAGCAACTGTAATAGACAGCATGCACTTTCGCACATGTGCACTAGTGGAGATTGATTTGATGTTATTTATTGGTTTTTTAACATCCTACAGGCTTTGACATGTTAAACACATTTTAATCTGAGCTTTTGAAAAATCCTTAAAACTTGAAAAAATATGTGAGATTGGTATTTATGTCCGTATACCTTCAAAATGAGGGAAAATTTACGGATAATCCATACAATTTGACATGTATACTTGTTTCTCTCCGCAAAATGCAAATAAATTTACATGTATTATACAATTTAATTTTCTGGATTTATTTTTATATTCTATCTCTCACTTTTAAAATTAACCTACCCTTAAAATTATAGACTGTTCATGTCTTTGTAAGTGGACAAACTNAGGAACCAGAACTCTTATTGGTTGGTAGGGGATCAAATACGCATTGCTCTCTGCAAATTGCAGATAAATTTATATAATTTATACAATGTGATTTTTCTGGATTTATTTTTATATTCTATCTCTCACTTTTAAAATTAACCTACCCTTAAAATTATAGACTGTTCATGTCTTTGTAAGTGGACAAACTTGCAAAATCAGCAAAGGATCAAATATTTCCTCCACTGTAAACCCATCCATCCATCCATCCATCCATCCATCCATCCATCCATCCATCCATCCATCCATCCATCCATCCATCCATCCATCCATTATCTATACTCGCTTCTTCCTTTCAGGATCACGGGGGTCACTGGTGCCCATATCCAGCAGTCACAGTGCAAGGTGCGGGGTCCATCTTAGGGCATATATATATTTATACTGTATGTTTAAAGTGCTTTAAAAGTACATTGAGTACAGTATTTGTATTGTTGTGCCCTTAATTCTATATTTATTTTATCAATGTGTATACAACATTAAAGGCTCCAAGTTTTTACTAGTTTGTGGTCAGAAGCTGAAAATTTGGGGAATCACTAGGTTAGCATTAGATGCTGCATGAAACATTTCCAATTTACACCTACTCTCTAACTCAGCTGTATAGCACCTAAGATAAATTAACGTGTATTCAGAAGAAATTCACTCCAATTCCCCATTCTGCCTTGATCATTTCAAAGATGACACTGAGGTAGAAAAAGGCCTATCAGGTCCAACTTGAAAATGCCAGTTAACAGAAATGGCTGTCAGTTAACAGAAACAAAAATGAGTTTAGCTCACCATGCTGGATGTCTTTCATGTCGAGATGCAAAGAAGACATGAGAATCCCAACAGCCTGAGAGCGCTTATTATTTAGAAGCTTAACAACCTAAAATAAAGATCAGACACAACATTATTGCTATTGTACAACAGTAATTTACCGAAACCTTGACTGAACATACAGAACATCACTAATCTAAGCTTAATAATGAAAGTGCAGAACTTGACATTTTTGCTTGGCTAATTAGTCACCTCTGCATGTTTTATCTCTAAGTAGAATCAGGCTAAATAGTTTGACCTTCTCAGATGCACTTATAAAAAAAAACAAGAAAGCAATATTCATATGAAATACATTTAAAGTCTCAAAAAAACATAAAACCTAAACTGTTATTTAAAATCACATATTGATAGGACCAAGTTCAAATTGGAAAATATTGAGATTTGTGATCCTTGTAAATACTGCCATTCGACAAGATATTAGATAAATATTAGATAATTTTATCAGTGCTGGGCACATTAATGCATTATTGCATTGTATTGTAAAATGGGCAATTAATTATGGGGTGCCGTTTGTAAAGTTACACAGTCAAAAATTACCACCAATATTTTTGTTTTATTTAGCCTTTTATAAGAAAAAAAGAACAGATTTATTTTTCAAAGTCAGATTTTCACCATGATTCATACATTTATAAATGTCATAGTTTATAAACTAAATATTTAACTTACAAATTAAATATTTAGTTAACAAGCTAAATATTTAATTGTGACTTAAATATTTAGTTTTGAGCTAAATATTTAGATTGAAACTTAAATATTTAGGTAGCTACCTAAGAATTTAGGTTGCAGCTTAAATATTCAGCTAGCTACCTAAATATTTAAGTTGCAACCTAAATATTTAGGTAGCCAGTTAAATATTTAAGTTAAATATTTAGGTGGCTAGCTAAATATTTAAGTTGCAAGCTAAATATTTAGGTAGCCAGTTAAATATTTAAGTTAAATATTTAGGTGGCTAGCTAAATATTTAACTTGCTAGCTAAATATTTAAGTTGCAATCTAGATATTTAGGTAGCTAGCTGAATATTTAAGTTAAATGTTTAGATAGCTAGCTAAATATTGGTCTGTGCTCAGATCTGACCAAACCTGAGCACAGAACACTTCGTCCTTCTGGTTAAACCCACATTATTTAAGATAAAGAGTAGAAAAGCTAACACCTTTCTTCAATCTTTTTCTTAACCTTGCCCTTGCCAACTCCTAAGATAAACAGCCTCAAATGTCTGGTYTTTAACATCTAAGCTGACGTTTGGGTTTCTATTTAAATGTGATTAACAATTAGGAAGTTAAAAGCTTATTATTGTTGGTCCCAAAACTTTTTAACTTGTTCACTGATTAGAGATGGCATGATTTATGATTCAATCGTCTATCGGCGATAAGGGTTGGAATGTGATTTTTTTAAGGGAGATCTTTATTAATAAATCAAATGCTGTGCCAGGGATGTAAAATAAATTTTAAATGCGCCCTTCTCTGTAAATTAAAAAGTTTTAATCATCATCATTGTGATCTGTGCAAATGAGGGAATAAAATAGTGCAGCGTCTCTGTGTTTTTTTTTCTCGGAGTCTGAGCCAACATGCGCAGCTCCTCTTCACGTCTCTCTTCTCGTCATCTTCTTGCATTGGTGTGCCACAAATGACCCAAATAGTGCTATATTATTCTCGTCATCTTCTTGCATTGGTGTGCCACAAATGACCCAAATAGTGCTATATTATAACGTTTAGTTACAAAACGATTAATCCATGACAGTCATACATTTGAACAAATAACTTTAACCAGTTATGAACCGGACCGGAGCGCACTCCCTCACCCCTGCTCATCCCCATCACTCTGGGCTCTGTGTGCGGGTCGAACTTTTCACCCCCTCCACATAAGAACACATACGAACTATATGGTGTGATTGGTCAGAAGTTTGTGGGAGTGCTTGTGTGTGCTGAAAGTGCTCACACCAGTTTGTGGATAAACAATGTCGAGTGAAGAGTGTGGGACTTTCTTTTTTCCGCATTGGACTCCCTCTGGGTAGAAATCCCCTGTAGTGACAGATGCAGCAGTGGGGAGGGGATTTCCCAGGAGCTTGGCGCGGGGGTCTCAGTCAGGAACTATGAAAGGTATGTGCGAACACGAATGCCAAATAACCACGTAATTTACAAGTGACTTTACAAAAAAAAAGAAGCCGTCAGTTATAATAAGAAGACCTGCTTGCTTTTTTTTCTTAACAACAAAACTGCGCATGCCTTATCAGCCGATTGGATCGTCTATCGGCGATAGCCAGCGACCATGATCTTATGATCCGAAAATAGAGAGGATTTCCCATCCCTATTACTGATGTCATTTGATATATTTTTGCCTGTTCAAATAGAAGATTTTAACTAAATATACAAAATCTTTGATTTTGGTTTATGTACTTAAAGTAGTTTTTAGAACACAGACCTGTTTTGCCTTGGACTTGGTTATGGTGTCAGATAGTGGTTGCTTCTTTTCCTTTACAGCTGTCTTGGAGAACAGTTCCACAAACTCTTCAAAATCCACTTTGGGCTCTTCAATTGTTTCCCACACCAGTAATGAAGTTTCCTGTCTGTGAAACACAGAAGTACTTTAATAGTAGGAAAAAAAAAGCTTTATACAATTTTCTCAACTAAAGACACCACTGTGGTTGAAAACACAAACACAACAGTATAAGGACAGCTTGACAATATATCAATCATGATAGAACGTTAGCACTTGACACTTGAACAAAATCAGTTTGGTGATATGAGGCTCTATTTTCCAAGTAATTTTGACTGATTTCTATGTTAAATCCTCCTCTCCAGCAGAATTTAAATATTGTTCCTAATAATAACAATAGTCACAATTGCTACAATGGTTTATCAGAACCACTAAGATGAAAAAAATAGTTTTTATTATTTTCTAAATCTTTAAGATTGAATTTAAAATTTTGACAGGAAAAATCTGTGGCAGCTGTCACTAGAGGGCACTAGGGTGCCATCCCACCAGTATTTTTTGGGACAGAAAAAAAATATAAAAATGAAATAACAAAATCAAATGTTTAGTAGAAATATCTATATAAGATTTAGATGTGTAAGATACATTTTTTATAGTTATTAATGGATAAATTTTAATTTTACTCATGAGTGTTGTCGTGTTGAGTCACTTCTGGTTCATGCCAGGGCACAGAAATCTTTTTTTTTTTGTCACTTCAGTAGAAAACAAAACCAAATATTATTAGTTTATTGAGTTTATTTATTTCTTCATCATCAGTGACTCTTTTACTAAGTGAGAAGATAAGAAAGAAAAAAGAAAATTGAAAAGAGCTGAAACTACAAATGTATGAAATAAACTCAATAAGACCACAAGACATCATCGACACCTCCACACCCACCAATAACCGCACAGACATATTTACATAATGACATACTAATATTTTCACCCACATCTACATACATGCCTCTATGTATTATACGTACAAATGCATCCCCACACCCCCTTATGTGTTATGAGCATGCATACCTATCCAAGGTTTCTCCATGCTAGAGCAAGAGCTCCATGGGCAGCCACATGCAGAAACCCCCGGGGGCAGCAGCGATAAACCCATAGGCCCCCGCCAGAGCCCGCCGTACCAAGGAAGATCCAGGCAAGGGCACAGAGGACCGAGCCCCGAGGACCCCCTCCGGGCCACAGCCCAATGGGACCAGAGGACCCGAGCCCCCCCAGGCAGTCACCAGGCCAAGCCGACAAACGCCCAGGCGCCCAGCCCCAGACAGAGAGGGCCCCAAGTTCGCCGGCAGGGAGGGGCTCATCCTACCAGGGAGCAGTGCAGCAGGGACACAAAGCACAAAAACCCAGCTGTATGACAGAGGGGGCAGTCAAAAACCCAGCCTGACAAGTACCCAATCATACACAAAAACATTCATACCATCCCACCCTCATCCTCACACTCATTCACTCAAAGAGATACAATAACAACACAATCCAATCATGCTCCCGATTCATACACTATCCCCTCGGGTTCAAGACATATACCCGCCCCCTGCAGGTGACAGTCCATATCCAAACCCGGGAGATAGACCCATTCTATCTGGGGTGAAGAGGAGCCGACAGTCAAGATCTGACCCAGGGCCCGGCCGGCAGGCCAACCCCCCCTGCCGTGGGGAGGCCAAACCCCCGACC